GAGGCTCCTCATGATCGTGTTGAATACAGGCAACAAAATGATTAGTTGTCCATCCATCTAATTTCGTAATATTTGTTTGAGTCCACATTGTGTGGATAGCATCCTGATTTTGTTAAGCATCAACACGGTCAAGGGAAACAATAAGTTGATTATGATCTTTTCTGTTTACACCAGGGTTTTGCACCTCAGGGAAAATGGACATGTTTGGTTTCTGCAAAACGTTAGAGGCTACGAACATGTGTAAAAGGCTTGAATAGTAACCGTTCTAGGTTGTTTTTATTGTTTCCTCTTATAAAGAAGCAATCAAATCACCTGTAATTAAACAGTCTTTTGACAGGAAACTTTCAAAGACATATAATGAAGTGAACTTTTGTTTGTGGGCATGGTCATAAAAGTGCTTTCATTCGTGTAGCGTTTCACTGAGGTTTGAAACAAGTTCAAACACATTTTGTACCCTCATTTCCTTAAAATTATCCTCATGTCCAAAACACAAAAAAGAGAGTTCTGAATAAACAATTCCCATCACCATATATCTGAATCGGGACAAGCTCAGAAGGAGCATCGTTTGGATAAAGCTCAGAGGAAACAACATCTTTTTGAATATTAAAATTTGGGATATTAGGTATGGTTGTTGGACGGGGGTATTTTTTTAAACTTTGCCCTTTGAGTCTAACAAGAAAATTTAGTGCTCCCAATCCCTTTTTCCTGCATTCCTTGCCTCTTCGTGCACTTTTTCGAAAAATGCCTTTCTTTCGTCCGTCTGAGCATACATTGTGAAAAATAATCAAACTATGCGTAAGGTTTATCATACATTCATATGATAGTGTCTGACCAGAAATGAAACAGTTCTAGACAGCCTGAGAGTTTAAATGCGTTTGAAAAAAGTTGTAATACGTCATGGGATCTACGTCACTGGGGTGTGATATGTCACTGATAGATCCTACTTTACATAATAGTGTCGGGTTTACCTTTACTTCAATAAAACTGTGATGATAAAAAAGTCAACAGTTTATAATTTTAGCTATACAAAAAGAATTTTAATATATACAAACGTAGAACTGGTATAAGGGCAGTTGGTTATCAGTATTTTTCTATCAAGACGAAGTTTTTCTGAACAAGCTATCTAATGAATTTAATTACTAGACCTTGAAGTCAAGGTCACACATAGGGGATACCTTTTGATTGGCCGTCCCTTGCGAGAATTTTTCACTCGTACGATTCGTCACCAAATAACAGTAATTAAAGGACTTTAAAGTTAGGCATTAACTCGTCACTTAAGGTCAAGATCTAGTAAATGACTTTAGACTAACTTTTTGGTGCTAGATCCATTATGACGTCATAATCAATTTTAACTTTCTTTTTGCCGTACTTTACGGTTCTAATAGAATTATGTAGAAAATAAAATATTTTCATGGAATTCAATTTGAAATCACGTGAAAAGTAATCCCGATACCTATATTCAATTTAATATTATTTTAAAGAAGAGGCTAAGAACATACAAATTATCGTTTTCTAAGAGACTGTAGGCAACTGGATACACTTCCTTTGTCTGATATGGAAAAAAACTCCCGTATTCATGACTGGTTTTCTTAATTTTTCATTGAAAATGACAGTTTAAAATATGATTTTTCGTCTTGTTCATCTACAAATTATGCCCGGAAACACCTTATTTGACCAAGCTAAAGTTAGAAAGCATCATCAAAGGAATTTATTTCTCAAATTTGAGAAATCTGTAGGCACCTTTCGTTTACTAGATCTTGACCTTAAGGAGGCTGGGGGGTCAACAAATTAACCACAAATTAACCACCAGATTTAACTTAATTTTTTAGATATGATATCTTAAGCTGTCAACTATCATTTGGCAAAGAAAAATTTCAAAAATTTTAGTTTTAAAATTTGATCATTTTCTATATCTTCATATGGAGCTCTTCTTCTAAAGGAGATCAATATAGTCTAAAAATGGCCACAACCCCCCAGCCTCTTTAAGCCAGTTGAGCAGTGAGGGTTCTTTACCGTGCCAACACTACCGTAACACGGGACCTACGTTTTGAAGGTCATTTTCGAAAGATCCTTGACTTTCACTCCTAGTTCCGGGCGCTTGACAAAGGAACACTGGCACTACATATGTTATACCTTTTAGGTTTGACGCCACACGCGGCACCGGGAACGAGACTCGAACCATGACCTCACGATTACGAAACTTTTAGGGCATTTGGATGAAGCCTAAGAAATGTTAAAGCATAAATTGCTTTTGATAATTAAATTTATGGATACTGACTGACTCTCACTGATTTAAATAACCTTTCTGCTTAAAAATAATTATACATTACACTATATATGAACTTTTATTATATAATTTTTTGTGGAAAAATATTGGGGGAGAGCCCCCCCCCCCCCCCCCCCCCCAAGTTCCTACGGCCATGGGTGTCACTGGGATATATCGAGTCGACATAAGAGTGAAATTAACCAAACGTTGTCGATATATCTAAATGTCGAGTTGAATACCACAGCAAGAGTTTTCTTCTCATGTAGAAGTTTCTGAATAAACTCTGCTTTGAATATAAAAATTGTCTTATGACAATATCTAATTAAACAAAAAGCATTCATTCAATTGATCATCAATGATATTAATCTCACATTTGTATTTCAATTCCTTGTATGGACATGAATTGCATATACATGAATGTGTATATTTTATTCTAGTGTTCCTAGTTAAACTCTTCATGTAGTAAAAGAGGCTCCATAATATATGGGTTGAAATAATGTTGGTCTTCATATCCTCTTTGTAAACATAATCTTAGATGTCGCATTTGTATTTGTTTTTCTTAAAAATGTTTCAAAAAATAAAAAATAGAGCAGATATCAAGTTTACATCAGTACAGTATCTGGTCCTGCATCAATATGTGAACTTGAGAATGTTTCTATGGTGTTTTGGGTTGATATAAATTTTAGTTTTTGAAACATTGATTATTTTAAGTAATTACTACCAAGAAGAGGAATGAATTTTGGTAGATAACTTTGATAATTCTAGTCTCAAATAACAAAACTTGTCAAATAAGCAAATATTTCAAGTTATAGAAAGTTTAAGAAATAGATCTGCAAAAGCTAGCACTTTGTGAAAAATATGCCCACTTGTCTGTTTGCTTTAACGCCAATAATATTCACAAACTTAAAAAAACATTTCTTACATATTTTAACCAACAAAAATGCACTCGTTTTTCATATTTTCATTACGATCTCGGTAGCATCATGTTCGTGCGTCCGTGTACTCGTATATTATTTAGTATATGCTTGAGAGATCATTTTCAAATAGTTAAGAACACACAGCAATTGTGTAAATATTACATAATTTACGGTGGTTTGTATTTTATTACAAACCAACAGTCCATAAACTGTCACAATGCAAGTCTCACATTAATGTACAAATAGACCATTAAAGTAATGATCTGCTGAAAGCAATTTCCATTTTATCATAATTCTAATGATAAACACTCAATTAAATCATATCAAATATCCCTATTTTTTTTTAACATATCCTGTTGCCATACTTCAAATCTGTGAATAGGTACAGATGATATGCAGCTATGAGGGTATTAATCCTGGATTTGACTGGTATTGTCAATTGTAAAAAAAAAAAAAAAAGAAGTCTGTGAGCCAGTGCTCACTAATAATACCCCCGCTCTGATGTGAATACACAAGTTCAGTTATGGACAGACACAGTGATAATCAGGAAATTGACATCGGATTTGTACAAAAGTGAACCCAAACATATAGCATGCCTAAACAAAGAGTGTGTTGAAATTTCAAGCATCTGCGATGAGTAGTTGCTGAGAAAACTGCCACCCAAATTTGTTATGTATTGTACAGATGGACACAAGGATAAACAGGAAGTTGACATCGGATTCATATAAAAATGATTCCCACTATATGGCATGCTTAAACAAAGGTGCTAAAATTTCAAGCATCTGTGATGAGTAGTTGCTGAGAAAAACTGCAACCAAAATTTATTATGTATAGTAAGGACAGATGCACGGAAAAACAGGAAGTTGACATCAGATTCATACAAAAATGAATCCCACTATATGGCATGCCTAAACAAAGGGTGTGCTAAAAATTCAAGCATCTGCGATGAGTAGTTGCTGAGAAAACTGCGACCAAATTTTGTTATGTATGGTAGAGACAGATGCATGGATAAACAGGAAGTTGACATCGGATTCGTACAAAAATGAATCCCACCATATGGCATGCCTAAACAAAGGGTGTGCTAAAAATTCAAGCATCTGCGATGAGTAGTTGTTGAGAATACTGTGACCAAAATTTGTGTTATGTATGGTACGGACAGATGCACAGATAAACAGGAAGTTGACATCGAATTGTAAAAAAATGAATCCCATCATATGGCATGTCTAAACAAAGAGTGTGCTAAAATTTCAAGCATCTGCAATGAGTAGTTGCTGAGAAAACTGGGACCAAAATTTGTTACGGACAGTTAGACAGCTACACACACAGGCGGACAGACAGACACACAAGGGTAAAACAGTATACCCCCCTCTCCTTCAGAGCAGGGGTATAATTATATCTATACATACATATCAAAACATCCATAGATGTAATCAGTGTAAGGCTAAACTTACTTTCATAAAATCTGTCACTGAAACTGTTCTCATCTCACAGGCACTTATTTTGTTTACAGGTCACCATCTCGGCTTTCTTTCCATCAGGTGCCTAGCTAATTTTCAAACACCTCCACTTCAAATTCATATCTTATTATTAATCAATCATTGAAAGGGATTTCTCTTTTCTAATAAATCTTTCCAGAAGTCTCTCATCGACTTGCTTTATACCTCAAAATTATTTAAAGGCGTTAAAGTCCAGTTTCCAACCAAATAAAGCAAACTACTTGTGAAAAAGGATAGTATTGATTTATGGAAAAATATAAAAAAATTTATCATACTAGCAACTGAAATAACAGTAACTGAGTTTCATTTTATAAAGTTTTGGATTTCCCTCCATATATACATGTACTCTACATTTAATGTTTTTATTCAGAAGTCTCTTGTCTTAATGTATGCAAGAATTTGTAGAATTCATGTGAAATTATAGCAATTCAGAGTACGAGGGAAAAAAAGCAAATTAAATATATAACATTTTTCTTTTTTATGCATCAGTAACATCTACAAACTGCAAGCTCTGCATTACATGCACAGTATATCTAATAGCAGTCAGTCAATAAATATTCATTCATGCCTTTAAGAATAATAAATCTGATAAAATTTAGTCCTGCCAGAATTCACATTCCTTTCCAAATTCATATCGGGCAAAAATGTTGTCAAACAATCTCTTACAGTTGACTTTAGCATTGAGTTTAGTACATATTAAGAAAGATCCAGACATTTTCCGATGAAGGGAGTATGTCTCGTGGGGTGGAGGCGTGAGTCTATGTTTAGCCATCACTGGAACAAGATTAAAGATACGCATGGTTGCACTTTGGGTCCCGAAATCAAACTTTTCATCCTTGGCCATGGCTTCTCCAAGAATCATGACAGCATCAATATGGGCAGTCTCCATTGTCTGAAAATAAATACAGGTCTGAGTAAAACATATGCAGATGTTTATCCAGTTTTTATGAACTTTTGCAGTTCAGCCATAATTGTATTAAAAAGACAGAATATTTCACTGTTTATCTTTGGCACTGCAATTTACAGGGAATAAAGTTAAGAAAATTGCAGATGCAGAAATTGGAATGATAACTATTAAAGGATTTTGGGAAAAAAAATTAAAACTACCCAAAATATAGTACTTTTTTTAATAAATACCCCCCCCTCCAAAAAAAATTAATTTCCTCTGCTGAAATATAACACCAACCACAAATGTCCTACCTTGGTTTCATATCCTGTGAGGAAGCCACACTCCACTGACCAATGTTTGACACCTTCTCTGTCCCCCTCAGATGCTGCCTTGATAATCCGTATATAATCATCCACAAACTTAGCAGAAAAGCTTCTACTGGCTCCAAAGTCTAACAGGATCAGCTAAATGTTGGAGAGAAAGTCACATATAAATCTTCATATCCTTCATGATCAACTTTTATATTTGTTGTTTCTTGCATATCAAGAGAAAAGAAACCTTAAGGTACATGTGAGATAGGTTTAAGCAGTGATATATAATTTACTAAACTATCCATGTATCATTCGACACTTCTTGGCCAGTTCTCACAAATCTCTCTTCTTAAGAGAGAGATTCACTATATGAATCTAATTGCACTAAAAGGCATTATCTAAATGTACTGTGGTTTCATCAATTTTTGTAGTGATCAAATTTTATGGTTTTGGCAAAAACTAAAATTAAGTTGATATGTAAATTCACAAACAGCTAGCTCCTTGTGTATTTACAAAAATTTTGTAGTTTATTGATTATTAACTCCATAGTCTGATTCAACCACCAAAACAACAAAAATTGTTCAACAAAAAAATGATAAAACTACATAATGATATATAAGGATATGGATACTACTTTGACAAAGTGTGCTTTTTGTTGTTTTCTTATATACTCCAGGAAGTTTCTCATTTTTTAATAACTTCTTTTTGGTATTCCCTGGCCTTCAGGGCCACAACTGTTAGAAATCTACACTATTAAGGAAACTTATACATTGCTGCAACAACATTTAATCTAATTTCTATATAGCTGGAGCTTTAGGGATTGATTTGTGACAAGATTCCAAATCATCTATATACTACAATAAATTTGATATTGGAAAAATAACTTAAGTGGTAATTAATGTTGGCCTCATCCTCCCATTACAATTACAGTCAAACCTCATTATCATGAACTCAATGAGACCAAGGAATTACTTCCAGATATCTGAGGATTCGAGATATCAAGGGTAAAATGCTTAAAGAATAAGTGGTTGGAACTTCGACATATCCATGATATTCAAGATATCAGTGTTAAGAGATACGGAGGATTTTATTTCAAAAGTAAAGGACAGAGCTTATCTTTGACAGACACTGTGATGAATAAAGTTGCAAAATATTCCCCTCAAATCATAAAACTGACCTTTCCAGTGTCTGGGTTGTAGAAAAAGTTGGCCCAGTTTGGATCAGTTTGCATAAATTTCCAGTCAAATAATTCTGTCAGACAGAGGTCTAAAATTTCTGTACATATCTGGAAAATATGAAAACATTACTATATATCTGTGAATACATGAACAATTTCTGACTTCATAGGACTTCTTTGCTATATACATGTATGACAGATGTTCTCCACACTACCACAGCTGAAAAATCAGTTTAATAAAGTTATGCCCCCTAACAGTGTTCTTTCATTCAAGGTACATGTAGGTCTGTAAGAAACTATTGCCTTTACCATGTGTATGGCTACTGACCTGGTCTCTGGTTTCTTGGTCCAGTTCAGCACACTGATCCAGTGGTATACCCTCTACAAATTCTGTGGTTAACACCTGCCTAGAGCTCAGCTCAGGTACCACAGCGGGAACTTCTAATAGAGGGTGGTCCTTTAGTAACTCTCTACAAAAGATATTTAAAGATTTGCTTCTGTTATGTCAATTTCTTTATTCAAAATGGTTAACATTTCTGCTATTTTTGTTTTTTTGTAAAGCTTAAAGCTTTTAAATATTAAAAACAAAGGACTGTGAATGACCTCAGAAAATAATGCATCTACTACAACTAAAATGAGTTCCTTAGATGCTCATTATTTCTGTGGTTAATGCAAGCATAACAGAATTCTGCACAAGAATTTCATAATATTTGCCAATGACCTTGTCCAACTGATATTATCTGGATATAGGCAACCCTTGTTGCTGTTATTAACTTATGGTGTTGGGTGAAATAACCTGAGCTCAAAATGTCACACTTCCTACTGTTTACAGCTTTTTTTTCTCTAAATGATGACCTCAGGTTATGATATCACAAACATGTTGTAAGTTTTTAATTCTTTGTTAGCCAAATTCAGATTTCAAATTTTTTCAGCAAATTACCTAGACCAAATCAATCAAAGTCTAGATTGTGATACATCCGCAGTTCATAAATTACCGTTAAGTTTTAAAAAGTTTTGAATATATTTTGGTTATAAGTCAAGGACCATACAATCTTAATGGTCTAAATGAAAGCCTCAATTTGGGTACAATTATGAACATTTTCTTCCTTAATTTTCCATCATCATTCAACTCCAATTTCATAATGTCATAATTATTAGAAAGTCAGTGTACAGGGAAAAATAAAATACATGTACAGTCAAACCCAGGGCTCTAATTGGTGAGTAATTTAGTCACCATGGCGCCTTAAAATTATGATTGGCACCTAAAATTTTTCTATGAGTTGCCAAATTGGTGACCATTTTAAATTGAAAAATTACTGAACTATAAACATTTTCAAATATTTTTTATAAAGAGCAGAAAAGAAGCTTAAAAGTAAGCAATGGACATGTCTCTATATATTGACTAATATCAGTTTTTAAATTGGCGCCTGAGAAAAATTTGCCTGGCGACTAAAAATTTCCATTGGCGACTAATTTTTCTTATTAAGAGCCAGTTGATGCCTAAATTTTAGACGTCATATAGAGGCCTGAAACCTCATTATCTGGAACTCGATGGAACCAAGAAATAACTTCAAGATAACTGACGGTTCGAAATATTTTTGGTAAATTACGTGAAGAAAACTTTGTTGGGACCTTCAACTCACCTTGACATACTTGAGATATCAGAGTTTGAGAGAAAAGCAAAGTTCAACTGTAACAGATAAAACTTACTTGAATTTAATACTGCATTTGGCCTCTCTTTCATAATCAACCTCCCAGTTCAATTCTCTCTTTGTGACTCTCATTAGGTCATCAATGTACACACCTGGTAAGATAGCACATTATAATGTATTTTCAAATAAATTACATAAAATTTCTCTTACAAAAAGATTCAGTTCATCTTTGTAATGTACATGACTGTATAATTTTCAGAACAGGAATAGTAAAACAGAATAAATTTCTGAATATGATGAACATGTACTTGAGTATTATCAAAATCATAAGGTGAAAGAATGCTCAATAATCCGTATGGGTTAAGGTCCAAGTACCTCTCCATTCCATAAAGTAATGGAGCCGAGACCCCAAAGGGGCTTTTAAGGAATGGAGAGGTATTAGAATACTAACCCACTTAAAATACACTGTTTTAAATGCTCTTAATTAATGTTCTATATATAATGCAGACATATTTTTATCAATATCAAAAATGCAATTAAAGAACCTGTAATATTATATAGGTTTTAATACTGCAGAGAGAGTGTTGCAAAATATCATTTTGACATTAGCCTCGTAGCATGGAGAGCATGTATAGATCGAGTACCTGGTTCAACATCCACAGTTTTCTTGTTAAAATGTAATGTGCTTTATAACATTTTGCTATGTTCTAACAACCAAACAAACTAAATACCAATAAAAGGCATTTTTTTGCAACATTTTCCATTCCTGAAAATAATAGGGCAGTCAAACAAGAGTGATATCACAAGTGGATTTTAAATACAGGTATTGTGATCTATTTTTTTTTTTCAGTAGAATTTCCTTTACCTTTAGGAAACAAATCCCATATCTTCAAGACAGTCATTAAATTGTTAATGTCACTTTCTATACTGGTTGCCACACCTGGGTACTGTAATGTAGAGAGGTTTGGTTTTGAAAACAAAAACATGTACATATATGCAATTTTACATCATATATTTATTGAAAAAAATCATTTTCATATTATACCAATGAAGAAATTCAATCAAACTTTCAAAACCTTTATTGAAAAAAATCATTTTTATATATCAAAGAAGAAAGTCAATCAAACTTTGTGTTACTTATTCCATCACTACATTCATGAATCAAAATATTCATGAGGTCTATGATGAAGTGACATAAGAAAAAGTAACTTAAGCATAACAGTTATGAATAATATCTCCATATAGAAATATAATTTGATTGCAAGAGGTTTGTGGGCTTTAATAGTCATCTTAGTAGTATTACACTGTTCTTTATGCATGTATTAATCAAACTGCAAAAAGTAATCTTAACTTGCATTCACAATTTTTGCTCAAAACTTTTATATCAGCATAGTACTAAATTGTCATTCAATTATTGTCCATGAAATAGAATTCAGTATGTTTTTGTACTACAGACTTAAATCCAGACAAAGTTTCTTTTCTTCATTGTTCCTGACCTTGAATGATGACCCTCTGCAACTCTGATCATAACTACCTTTACTTCAAACTATAAGCTTCTAATACTTTTGGTTAAAAACAAAAAAGATGTAACCATCACAAGAATGCTGTTACTATTACTTCAATGACAACAGCCATTTGATAATTATTGTGTTCATAACAGACAACTGCTACAGTATCTATAATCATGTTTTACCTGGATTTTCATTGTTTTTTTCATACTGTCTTTTAACTTCCCTTTTAGAAGACTATTACAGTACCTATGATCACATGTTTTACCTGGATTTTTATGGCTATTTTTGTACTGTCTTTTAACTTCCCTTTTAGAAGACTATTACAGTACCTATGATCACATGTTTTACCCGGATTTTTATGGCTATTTTTGTACTGTCTTTTCAAGACCCAATTTTTTTTTACCGTACGGTTACCTGAGGAGGAGGAGTGGTCTTGGTAGTACTGGTGTTATTTACCTGGAGAGTCCCAATACTCAAGATGTCAAAAAACCCTATACACGCTTCATTACACAGGTAGTCCAGCTTTGGTAATCAGGGTCAACATTACGCGTTTTGTGCATAATTTTGAGTGAAAATATTTAAAATAAATTATGTACTGAAATATAAAATTTGTAGACTTAGCGCTTTTGTCGATATATTTTGAAGAAGAAAAAAATTTAAACGACGTATCTTTTTTAAAATTCGTAAAATAAAAAAAAAACGGGTGAAAACTACAAAGCAATCATATCAATATTTTAATCGCCAATAGAAGAAAATATTATAAAATATTAAGTGTGAATATTAAAAAAAAAGATTCCACTTATTGTGTGGACATTTACAACGATCGGAATATTATTTACTTTTCTGACGAACAATGGTGTCCAAATATTCGCCATTTCCGAGGGTCCGTGTTCTTATGTCCTGTTTACAGATTTTCGTAATTCATGGCGTTAGATATAAGATACTTTGTTTATATTAGTATAAATATCTTTTTTATTTAATCCATTGCATTTTGTTATAATTTTCAATGGTGGGGGAGGGGGTCGATTGTTTCCAATTACGGCGAATTGAGTTTCTGTGTACCCAAGTGCAAGGTCGACGAGGGCATTACGTTCATTCAAGTTCCTAAAATCAAGGCACAGGTTGAATAAGGGGCTTGGAAGAATTATCTGTGCTGCTACAGAAACTTCTCTCTTCGGATCTCAGTTATTGAAGGAAGAGAGGGTTTGAATAACCACTAATTTTTCTTCGAAAAGTTCTACGGTTATCTTGGACGTCATATCGCTAACAAGTACACAACAGCAGTGGAGATTAAAAAAAACACACACACACAAAGTCACTGATTAATTATCTACTCTCAATAATTTTTTAAAAATAAAATTGTCAACCAATATTTATAACAGCGACATGATTTTTTTTTAACCAGAGTGTATACAAAGCGACCTTTCACGCGGTACATGAAAGCGTTTGACGCCTGACCAGGTAATTGTTTTCAAAACATGTAAACTCAGATTATCAGGTAGCCCTCGTAGCTGGCCCGTCAATCAAATCAGAAGCTATAGTTTTTTTAATGATTGACAGGCGGTATACTATTGATCTTGAATTAGGTAGATTTTGGGGGCGTTAAGATAAAATTGGGTGTTTAACTTTCCTTTTAGAAGACTATTACAGTACCTATGATCACATGTTTTACCCGGATTTTTATGGCTATTTTTGTACTGTCTTTTAACTTCCCTTTTAGAAGACTATTACAGTACCTATGATCACATGTTTTACCTGGATTTTTATGGCTATTTTTGTACTGTCTTTTAACTTCCCTTTTAGAAGACTACTACAGTACCTATGATCACATGTTTTACCTGGATTTTCATGGCTACTTCTGTACCATCTTTTAGCTTCCCTTTATGAACCTGTCCAATGGAAGCAGCAGCAAAAGGGATGTCATCAATATGGTCAAATTTATCCTGCCAGTCATCTCCGAATTCACCCCGCAGAACTTTCTGTTATGATTAAATCATCTGCATTAATCTCAAGTGAATTATCAAAGGCAGTCACATACTGAACTTTATGGCTAACTAGTAAACAAATAATAACAATGATCTCTACAATATAGCACTAGAATCATAATATAGAGGATAACTAATGGGTAATGTAGAGAATCACTAGAGGGGCTATACAGAGAATCAACAGAACAGAGGATTAAGGGAAACACTACATGGTAATATAGAAGATCACTAGAAGGTAATATAGAGAAGTACTACAAGGGTAATATAAAGGATCAACAGGCCAGTGATACAGAGATTCACTACAGGTTAAAATGGAGGATCATTAAAAAGGTAATATGAAGGATCAACAGGCCAGTGATATATAAAAGGATCACTTGAAAGGTAATACAGATCAATAGAAGGGTAATATTTAGAATCACAAGAAAGGTAATATAGAGACTCAAAAGGTAATTTAGAAGATCACTTTAAGGGTTAAAAAGAGAACTGTTGGAAGGGTCAAAATAGAGGATCAACAGAATGTTGAAAAAAAAATAAATAGAAGGATAATACAGAGGATCAATAGAAAGGTAATCTAGAGGATCAGAAGCAATCAACAGGTGGGTAATATTAAGAGTCAACAGAAAGGTAATACAGAAAATCGATAGAAAGGTAATATAGAGAATCAATAGAAAGGTAATACAAAGAATCGATAGAAAGGTAATATAGAGGATCAACAGATGGTAATATTGAGAATGAACAGGTGGGTAATATAGAGGATTCAACAGATGGGGAATATAGAGAATCAATAGAAAGGTAATATAGAGAATCAACAGAAAGGTAATATAGAGAATCAACAGAAAGGTAATATAGAGAATTAACAGAAAGGTAATATAGAGAATTGATATATGGGTAATGTAGAGAATCAATAAAAGGGTAATACAGAGAATCAATAGGTGAGTAATACAGAGAATCAATTTATTTTATCACTGACTTACTTTCATTTGCCAAGTAGGCATGAAATCTGCACTTTGTCGGACACGGTCAAAGATCTTTTGAATTTTGGGGTCAATGAATGAATTGTCTGAAATTAAACAAATGTCTTTTATTAACTAATTAACATTAATACATGCATGCACCTTGTAAACTCTAACTGCAGATATGGATCAATAGAGGCCTGAAAGATATTTCATTATACTTCAGATATTTCTATATACCTAAAGTCATAAGAAACACAAATACAAGTCAATGAAGACTCATATTTTTTTTTACACGTTTTATTTGCTTCAATTACAGTAAAACATTAAGCTGCCAGTTGTTAAACATTTCAAGAAATACCAAGAATATGGCAACTTTCTGAACCAAATCAAAACCATAACAAATTTGACCTGGTTCAAATTTAACAAAGCGTTTGTGTGGCAATACTGGTGTACCTTGTATGCTGATCATCTGTCCCAGCTTCAGAGCAGCCCCTCTAGCTCGACACAGTCTATCTACAATACGCTCTGCATTCTCTTCTGTCAGAAATGGGTTCTCTCCAATCAAACTTGCATTGTTGTTTGCTATTAATAAAGATTACCATCTATCTGCACTTAAATACATATCTTCTTTTACAACATATAAAGGGTTACCCAGTAGCTGTTTTCATTTCTGTTTAAAAATTTAGATCATTTGTTGAACCTATACATGAAACACAAGAGGCCCATGAACAAAATGCTCACCTAATGTTCTTCAAAAGATTTTAAAGTTTTTTTTTATAAGTTTCACTTTTTCTGCCCAATTGGTTCCTGAGAAGATTTTTTTAATGACCCTACCCTATTTTTGCCTTTTCTTGATTATCTCCCTTTGGAATAGGACTTGTTCTTCACTTGAACAATTCAGAATCCCCTTTACTCAAAAATGCTTTGTGTCAACTTTCGTAAAAATTGGTCCAATCACTCTCAAATAGAAGTCAAAAATGAGAAAATAACAAACAGATATATGGACAGACTCAGATGATCAGAAAAGCTTTCAGGTGAGCTAAAAATATTGGGGGTATTTTCAAGTTTTGTGATTCTGTTCATTTACTTCACCAAAGACGTGGGATTTAACTGTAAAAGCTGACAAAACTGAACCACATAAATTACCCCTTATGTAGAATCTTAAACAAATAAACCATTTTAAATAAAAACACTGCAACATTTTTTTGTTTTTGTTTTTTTTGTTTTTGATTTTTTTTTCTGGTTTTGTATTTTTTATCGACAAGTACCTGATTGTTTCTTTAGCCCCAGTCCTCTCTTTGTGACCTCTGACAGAGCACCTACACCCAGGCCCACAAATAAACCTGTAACATAAAGAAATAAAGAATTACAATGTATACAGAGCACCTACACCCAGGCCCACAAATAAACCTATAACACAGAATTATAGAATTACAATGTATACAGAGCACCTACTCCCTGGCCCACAAATAAACCTTTAACACAGAATTACAATGTATACCAAGCACCTACTCCCAGACCCACAAATAAATCTGTAACACAGAATTACAGAATTACAATATATACAGAGCACCTACTCCCTGGCCCACAAATAGACCTATAACACAGAATTGCAGAATTACAAGATATATGTATTCAAAACCTTTGTCATAAAATCATCAAAGAAGGTAAACTCATTTTCAATTGAGATCTAATTAAAATGCACAGATATGACAGTATAAAATGCAATAAGAGAAATTCAAAAGGAGTTCTAAATCTATTTTAAAATTATACCTCTAAATGTTACCATGCAATTTCTATCTTTAACTTCCCTTAAATCCATCACATAAAATATCACCCAAAATTCTGGTATCAACACCTGATATTCTGGTACATATACATTTAGATTTGAATTATCTATATGTGCCTTCAATATAGATTTTATTGATTATGTATCGTTAAAAATAAGAAATGAACCTAGATAGAAAGAAAAAGACAATACTAAATACTACCTGCTAGTACATATACTATATGTAAAGCTCTGCTTACCTCCAAAATTTGCAACTCTGCCAAATCTTGATGATGGCACTTTTCTCTCTTTAGCAGTTTCACTTAACTACAATTTGTTAATAGATATTGTTATTTGCGAAAAATATTACTCATAATCATCAAATACACAATGGACGTTTGAAAAAGGCTTCTTTAGTAAAACTTTTAAAATGAAATTTGCCTATAGACCTAAGTTAGGAGTAAGGAGAGTAACCATGAATTTTATATGTATGCAAAGCATTGTCAACATTATTGTTTTCACAGCCTCAACTTCTTTGACCAATCTTTAATACATTTACAGCTTTAAACCACCTTGAAACTGTTTGAGCACTGTCAAAATACATGCATATTTCCCTGATCTTTTTCTTGATAGCAAAATAATTAACTTAAACGGTTATCATTTTATCAAATAATTTTGGAACTTTTCAAATTTCCCTCATTTTGGGAAAACATTTACTCTAAGAACTATATATACCTTTGGTGCAGATTTGAATGAGGATAATGGTGGTCGTTTTGGTGTCTTGACTGTTTTTTTAATTGGATCTTCCTTGACTGACTCAAAAACATGCTCTGACTCAGTCAATGACTCAGGTTTAAATACAGACTCAGTTTTAACACTGGATTTTGCTGTTTTTACTGTCTTTGTATTTTCCAAAATGTCTTTCAGTATAGTCTTTGATGGTGGCTTTTTGCCCACCTTGGAACTCGTTGTCTTTGAGAGATTTTCTTCACCATCCACAAAATCTATTTCCTTGAAAGCTTCCTCGTTCACACCCAGTGCTTTGCTGAAGTCACTTGACAGGTCTAAGTCTGCTACATTGTTGTCCATAAATGGAGCAGACATAGATGGAGCATTTGTCCTTAGGGTTCTAGCCACTGTGGAAGCTTGTCTTGCCATCATTACTGTCTTGTCTTTAATCACTTTCTGAAAATTGATTATTTCATCTAGAGCACCTCATAAATATACAAAATACTATATATACATACAAATCCCTGTTATAAGATGCTGATAGATTATGTCTTTCGGGAAAGTGAATATAACTTGTGTCCTAAAATGTCAAAAAACATAATACACAGATCCTTATAACATATATGTTATATAAATAATCTCTCTCTATTTTTTCTTAATTGCATCATATGCTACAGATACATGATTTCGTAAATGAATATTTTCAAAAAGTATTAACAGCTCACATACATAAACGATTTACTGATAGGTCGGACCATAACAATGTCTGACTATAACAATGTCGGACTATAACAAACTAGGACTACCCAAAGTCGGACTATAAGGAAGTCGGACTATAACAAACTCGGACCATAGGATTATTTTTACTAATTAATTAAGTTATATTTATTTCGAAGACTTTTTTATGATTTCCAAAGAGTATGAAGATATACTGACCTTAAAAATGTTGAATTGTAGTATAACGTACGTTAGTAAGTGGACGGTGCATATGATAATTGATAAAAGGTTATGTTGCCCTATAGTATATTTCTTATGCGTTATACTGTTATATAGGCCTTATATTACTTAAACAATGTTGTTCTCATTTTATTTCGTTAGGCCAGAGTTGCAGGTTTGTGTACCTGGTTATTATTCTCATTAACCAGAATTGCCTCTGTATATTTCGTAGTGAAGCTGCAGCATAGTTTGTTGACTTGAACTATAGACCGTTTCACAATAACTGCGGTACTACTCTTTTGCAGGGCAAAAAGACATATTTTTTGCTGAAATATTACGTAAAAATTAATTGTTAAATATACTTCCAAATGTAATTAATTTGCCATGCAAAAGAGTAGTACCGCAGTTATCATGAATTTTATATATTTATGCACTGATTGAAAAGGCAGATTTAAAACCTTATTAAAGCCAAGTTGAAAACCCAAATTCCACGGAAGATCAAAGAACTTTTTTGATAATTAATATGCTCGTCATTAAAGTTGTTAAGTATCCGCCAGTCGGATGCATGCGGTAATTGTTTATCTAAGAGTTATCCATATTTTGACAATGACCCAATTAATTACGCTTATAACCTGTTTGAAGAAATATACCTATCATTGTATTCATTCATATATTTATTCCGTTTATTTAATAAATATATATACGGTAGTCCGACTTTGTTATAGTCCGACTTCGTTATGGTCCGACTCTGTTATAGTCCGACATAGTTATGGTCCGTCTTATCTGTCATCGACATAAACCATGCTTTTCAATGATTAAATTTACCGGCATGTTGCTTTGGTTAGAAGCTACATCCTGAACAACAGTCTGGGATTTTGCCAAAACATTTTCTGCTGCAGTTTTTAGACTGCTGTTCTTCCATGCTTGTTTTATCTCTGGCCCCTGAGTCTCTATCACAGCTCTTGTGATGTATTCCAGGCCTTTCAGAAATCCTGCCAAATCAGATCTTTTGGCCATTTTTTCAACTCTGTAAACAGTATATTTTCATATTGCTTTAAATCTCTAGACAAGATCGACGAAGTTTAAAAATATCAATCAACTTATACAACAAACAAGCACCAATAGATAACTTTTTTTATGAATTGCCTAATGCACAGAGGAACAGCTGATGAAAACACACAAACATCAACTGATCAAGGACAAGAGGTCGTTGATTTTCTACCTAGGATGGAATAATTTGCACATATTATCATTTGAAATTACATACCTTTGATCGTGCAGTACTCAACACTTCATCGCATTAAAGTGTTACACAAGGAAATCGAGTTTTGCAATGGTTATACCGCAAAGCGCACGTTTACTTTCTCGTGTTTTGGTTCCGAAAATTAGTTTCGTAAGCACATGCTTCCGGTATTTAACCGCAGTATCCCTATCCCGATCTATATTAACAGGTTGAAAACGGGTATATATAGCAGAATATGTTACATAAAGTTTCAAACTTTCTGCATCGTACACTTTTTGCATTCTTCACAGAAAAACAAAAATGGACACTAACATGTTGACGGTACGACCGTTAGGGCGAGCGCAGATACCTTTCAGTTTTTTAGATCGGGCTCGTCAAAGCGAACGTGACATTTGCTACGTCTAGACTCTGACGTCATATGACGTCGTATGTATGTTGCATTACCAAAACGAAGTCTGAACAGTGCTATTTTTAATCAAAAACGTTTAATCTACTATCTTTCTGCTATATATCCATTAAATCAAGGTGATTTTATATTTTGTTGAATTTTTGTTGCTACCGCGAGAACGTGGTTTGCGGCGAGATGCAATTCGCTAAACATTATGCATTATGGGACTACAGGTAACTGCGGAAAAAATGTGCAAAGTCCGAATTTTCTCTTCGCCCAGGCGTTGCTTTAAGAGCTCGCAGTGACGAGCGGCGCTCGCGCCGCTCGCTGCACTCGCTAAAAATCCTCATTTCACCTGTTCAGCAGATATGGGTGCTCAAAAATATAAACGGGGATTTTTTTTGGGGGGGGGGGGTGGTTATGCACCGTAAAACTGATTTTATGGTATAAGGTACAACTTTTTCATTTAGATGGGGAGCGCCTATGGTGGTCACCTATTGATTTTCCCTTGATCTGATATCCCCGGAAAGTAAGTAGGGCTATCGTCAGATTCGTCACACGCATCACGAACTCAGTTCAAGAATATATTTAACAAAACATTAAAAAAGAGAAAGACCATTTCTTTAAATAAAAAAGAATAGTGTTTATATTACCGAATGAGGGCCCAAATGGACATAAACATATAAAATATATAATTACAGACAATACACTCTTCGAGTTAGTACACTGGTGGTATTTTTATAGATTAGAAAGGCTAAATAAAAAGTATAAGACTTTTCCTTGTGTATAATCTTGTTAACCAAACTTAAAGTTGCTAAGTAACAAGAAAAAGAAGTCTTTATTTTCATTAAATAAAAAAAATACACCAGTATTGGGTCGTACTAGCTGTAATCTTCCTTTTCTAATAACAGACACAATCGAACACTCGAATCCCTATATGACTTGATTTTAAGTTGCTTGTACTCTAGAAGGTCATATCCTTGGAACAACTTAGAACACAGTTTCAGATTTTTGGTGAACTGTTCGAAGGATCAAGTTTTTAACTAGATGGGGGAAAAAATCAGTATAATGTCCAAGTTACTCAAGACCCCAAGCGCGGATCCAGGATTTTTTTCAGGGGTTCCAAATGTTCACCAACTCTAACAAATGTCAGACTCGGAAATTTCTTCCCCCCCCCCCCCCCCCAAGGTACACAACTTGCCCAGACCTGAAAATATTTCGGGTGGTGGGGGTGGTGGTGGGGGTTATGTGTGTGTGTGTGGGGGGGGGGGGTAGACACTCTCCTTAGTCAATCTTCTTTAGAAACATGACTCTCCTTTCCATTTTAAGAGGGGTTTGTCTTTCCGAGGGTGTTCAAGGTTATTTTTTCGTTATTTATAGATATGTGTACAATACTTCGTATCGTATGTAATAAAATGCACGATCGCAGAACACAAAGGCCCTTGTTTTTATATTAATTTTTTACCCATATTTCACACTTCGCATCTCATATTTCACAATAATAGTATAATTATATCTGGGGTAAAACAAAATTAAAGAAACGCGTGTCTGTGCATGACAGTACACACGGGAGATGAGGAGATAAACACCATCCAAGCCCGTAGGAACCGGGGGTGGGGTTGCCTCCAATAATTTTGCCAGTATATTACTTTACATTAGAAAACAAAACTAACTTAATTACAGTTGTCCCTCCTCAAATAAGTCAAAACTTACTTACGGACGTACCCCCTCTCAAAAAAGTATGGTTTTTCCTTGTTAAGATTTTCTGTTAGCCCCCCCCCCCCGAAATTTCTTCCTAAAGGCCTGCCATCCTATTAAAATCGCTGATACCCTATCATACTTCTGAAGCACCAGGCAGTGCCAATCTAATCAAAATTAATTCCAAGATCCGCTCAAGTAGATCGTTTAAGAAAGGTTTAGCGATCTTTCTGAGCGGATCAGAGGGTCGATCAACTGATGATAATTAGATTAGCAAGTTAATACCATACACTGTCCATAAAAATTTATAAATCAATATACTGTCAGTAATCACCATGTAATTAATGTAAGAAATAAGAAATACTGCTTTCTAGTACAATAAGACGTATACTGTGTCTTAGATGTGAATGCTCCATTTAGGATTAAAAGTTTTATATAGTAAGTGAACAAAATTCAGTCTTCCAATCCCTACCCTTTTCATTTCTACTGATCTGGTATGAATTTATATGAATTTAAGATCTCTGGCATTGTTGACATGACTGTGACCAAAGGTTTCCATGCTCATTCCTTACTAACTCATTGTAGGCTTAGTGCCTGGGTGTACAAGCTCACCTTACATAGAAATCTGTAATCACCTTTTAAAGGAAATGAAAACACCAGAACATATTTTCAGCCCATACTTTATTCTGCAATAAGTTGTTTTATTTACTCTGTTTAAGATGATTATAATGGTATTTGCTATAATACCTCATTCCATGTACTACACAGATCACACAATTCCTTTAACTATTAAAATACTTGTCAATCAAACAAAATTTCTTTCCTGCGCTGTAGGTCAACTCATTCAAATTTCTCTGAGCAAGCTAACAATGTGCTAAATAATCCTTTATCTTCCAAATGTATCTTAACTATCAGAATTTTCAAATATTTGGGGAAAAAAAGAATTTTGAAATCAAAATCCTGAATAGCACAGAAATCTTAAGAGATTAACCCTATAACAATCAAATCCTTCTTTCAAACAAATAAATTGCACCTCAGATTATCACAGCATGTCAGTACATTCAAAATAAATGGAAGAGTTCAACATAGGCATCCCTTGCTTTCTAACTCAACTATCCTTATCTCTCACACAGGCTTTCATTAAAGAGCATTTCTCCCAGAATTTCATGTACAAAAACTCAGCACTATTGGTTTCAAAACCAAACTTCTGTCCATTACCCATCAAGACATGGCAAAAATTCCATTCAGTGTGCATGTTTTGGTATTTTTAAAAATATTAACCGTGAATCGTCTGAATTTCTTCCAAGACTGTCAATCAAGTTTTCATTCTAACAAAAAGAAAATGTGTTTTTATTTAATCATGGAATTGTACTTCACTTTGGTTTCTTTTTTCCAAAATTTTATGGAGATATTAGAGCAAATACCATGTCTATTATCTTAACAGGGAATATTCAAAGCAATCCGGTGCTTTCTTTCATACACTGTTCTATAAATATTAAGCTTATTATACAGGGTGACAAAAAGAAGGCAAAGAATTCATCACTGAATTCCGGGGAAAAAAATTAGAAATCCAGAAGTTTGGTTTTTAGATTTGTTTATTTGGCACATGCATATTGATGCCACTAAATAATTTAGACAATAGTTTGTTCTTAACACGACTCCTAATCAGTGCATATCCTGGGGAGAAAAAGAAAAAAAAAACTACAATAAATTATATACCTTTAACTGAAAGCCATTAACAAACCATACATACTAAAGTGACAACAATTTGCTTTACAGTAGAAATAAAATATTTAACAAAACATAACACAATTTATTGGAGTTTTGCTCTATTTTCCACCATCAATCTTCACTCTCTTGAAGTAGTTTATCCTTTTATGAGGTATATTAAACCAAACAATATCTATACACAACAATCAGGATTGTAGGCCAACAAACAAACAAAAAAAAAAAAAAGTCAAAATAAAAACTCTGTCCCTTCACTCACCAGCAACAAAAATAATCATCAAGTTAGTTAAGAATAATTTAAGAGAAAAATTTTGAATTGATCATAATCAAAATCCTCATCAGTGTGCACGGCAGCTTTCATACAATTAACAAGAAAATTGTTCTTATGGGTGTGTTTTTTTAGCTTACAATTCCAATATATATACACAGTTTTCATTCTGGACTGATGGCATCCAACTGTTTTGTGCATGTTAGAATATACTCAAGATTTAAACACCTCACCAAAAAACATTACAGCAATACCATCTGACTTAATTCACATATAAATAAAATATTTCTATATATGTCAATATATAATTTGCATGTACTTATTTACAAACAGGAATTTCCGTAGTCATAGCAACACAAGCACTATACAATGTACATATTCTCTGTGTTCATGTGTTCTTCTCCAATCACACAAGGTATGATCATTTACCTGAACGAAGGAGAAAATTACCTTCTACAAGGTAAGATTTACCTTTGTCTGGGTAAGTAAAATACCACAAAAGTATCATTCAGATATATAACGATCCCTGCACAGCATTAAAAAAAATCATATAATGACATTGCAATTAAACCTAACTAAGATTTTCTACATACTATGTACAATTCTATGTGGTTTAATGATCTTATTGGAATATCACAGCTTAAAAAGGTTTAAATAATGAATTGCTCACTACAATGTGACAATGTGGTGTGAAAAATAAATAATGTAACAACATGACATTCTGTTCTGAAAAAAAAAAAATCAAAAAAACAAAAAAAACAAAAGGGAACTACCTGGTATCAAAAGTGTGTTATCTCCCTTCCTCATTTTGTTTCTATGGAAATTCAATCTCATATTTAAGTCAGCATGGTATTGCTATAACCCAACTAAAAACTCGGAATAAGATGTTTGGATCCAGTTCGCAAGGTACAGTTTGCAACATAAGTGGATAACTTGTAACTTGATTAAACTGGAAAAAGGATCATAAATAGCTATTAAAAAAATATATAAATCTTTGCATATCACATCTTTACCCAACTCATGTTAGA